TGATACAAAAATCACAACACGCCTTTCTTTAATGTTGTTTTTTTTCCTATGACGCCTTCGAACAAAACCGTTACTTGCAGAGAAAAATACATGGAAGTTTTATGGAGAGTGTGTGGCTGCCCATGTCTTGTGCACATCTCAGAGCTGTTATTACAACTGCATTACCGGCATTGATTTTCATCCAGTAGGCTAGTACACAACTGCCTTCATCCACATCTGCTGCCATAGTAACCGGTACAATATGAGAAAGTGACTGCTGTCATACCATGCAATTCTATTCATGCCATTATGCAGGGGGCTACTAGGCTGAAATTGCAGAGGGACCAAACACACAGTTAACCCTTGCTGTGCAACTATATACAAGAAAAATGGAAACCGACAGTCCCTATGTAATAGAGGGCTCTGCTGGACAGCCAGCAATATCTCAGCCTTCTGGTAACTAATGAGGTCAGACTCTTAAAGTGATTGTAAAGCTTAGCATTCTATATTTTAAAAATAACAAACATGTTATACTTACCTTCTCTGTGTACTGATTTTGCACAAAGCAGTGCCGATTCTCCTCTTCCCGGGTCCCACGCCGGCACTCCTGGCTTTTCCCCCCTGCTGGGTGCCTCCATAGTATGCTACAAAGGTGATCAGTTATGACACCAGACATTTGATTGTTTGGTAGTTTGGTTGAGAACACAAGCAAATGTCACAGTTATCATTTATGGCGTGCCGGGAATGTAAAATGTTTTCGATGGGTTTAGTTCCACTTTAATGCAAAGAATGCGTAAAGGTATATATGTTTCTAAAAACATTAATTCTGAATGGGGAATTGTGCAGCAGCATGGCGTCTGCACTGAGACTCTTCCCAAAAAAGAAAGTCTCAGTTCAGACGTCATGCCGCTGCACAATTCGGGTCATCAGAGGCTTTTTAAGTGAGCAACTTTTTTTACTGTCTCACTGCTTTTTTTCGCAGTCACGTTGTTTTAAACTGGATGGCTGCCTCTGTTCTACAATAAACTTTTATTTAAACTACTAAACTATCACTGGCTTCCCGTTGGCCCCCTGGTGAGCTCTGTCTGTTCCAGTGGGCATTGTCTTTTGCTGCTGCGTAACAGGAATGGTTCCAGAGCAGAAGCGCATATACTTGGGGAAGGCCTGAGAAAACATGCTGTGTCTGCTGCACCTTTTACAGCTTATGGTTTGGTGAGTGTACTTCTGATTAAGGTGATGGCACTTACTTACACTACAGGGATCTACTGTACAAGAATCTACTGGATGGTGGAAGATCGTTTTTATCTGAGTATATATGGGCTTTGATTTAAGAGAGACTTCATGTTAGGCACATTGAACACTGTTTTATTTATTTATTCTTGTATGTTTTTGTTATATTCACTGTCGCTGCATTATTTCATGATATTGTAGGTAAGTATGACATGTTTGTTTTTGTTTTTTGTTAATTACAGCCTTTAGAATCATTTTAACTAAGGGAAATGGCAGCTTCACAGCGAGCTTACCACCATGCATGTGCAAGCCACACTACTCTTTGTGAATGGTCCTGCATGCTTCTGGAACCTGTAATTTGTCCCAGAAGGTTGTGGGTGAAGAGGGGGAGGTTGAACTTCCACTCAGAAGTTAACCCAGGTGGAAGTGGGTACTTGTGAAAACAAGATAGCTCCTCCATACCTCCAACAAAAGGGCCAATTGATAATTAGGAGGGGGAGTAAACAAGCAGAACTTCTACTTTTGGGTGAAGTTCTGCTTTGAGACCAATAGTTGCCATATAGACGGATGTCAGTGTTCAGAATGGGGGATTTGGTGTTCTAAGGCTGTTATGAACTTGACAGCTTCCTTGGCAGAGGTCCCCAGTTGCTATGAAGCCAGGGATGCTGGTGATGTCATTACCCAAAGGTGTTAATTATTATTAATATTATACAGTATTTATAAAGCGCCAATGGTTCGCTCAGCGCTGTACATTACAAAGGGGGACAGAACATGTGACAGAACAATACCAATACAATGCAAAACATGAGGGGGTCGAGGGCCCTGCTCTTTGGAGCTTACAATTTAGGAGGGAGGAGATAGTGGTACAAGGGGAGATAGCTGTGGGGGATGGAGTGGTAGGAAGAGTGGAGGAGGTCGGCAAGTTAGCAGGGGGTGGGGTAGGCTTCCCTGAAGAGATGGGTTTTCAGGGTGCGCCTAAAGGAGAGGAGAGTAGGTGATAATCTGATGGGTTGGGACAGGGAGTTCCAGAGGATGGGTGACACCCTGGAGAAGTCCTGGAGGCAGGCATGGGAGGAGGAGACCAGGGAACTAGAGAGAAGGAGGTCTTGTGAGGAGCGGAGTGTGTGTGCTGGGCGGTACTTGGATATTAGGTCAGTGATGTAGTTCGGATCAGTATGGTAGACAGCTTTGTACGTCAGCGTTAGGATTTTGAATTTGATCCGTTGCGCAATCGGAAGCCAGTGGAGGGATTGACAGAGGGGGGTGCCGGAAATGGAGCAGTTGGAAAGGTGAATGAGTCTGGCAGCCGTATTCAGGATCGACTGAAGCGGGGATAGCCAGCGGCGAGGCAGGCCAGTGAGGAGGGAGTTGCAGTAGTCGAGTCGTGATATGATGAGGGAGTGGATGAGCTGTTTAGTGGTTTCTGGGGTTAGGAACGTGCGGATTTTGGTGATGTTGCGGAGGTGGAGTCTGCATGAGTTTGTTAAAGATTGGACTTGGGGCTGGAAGGATAGGTTGGAGTCTAGAATGACACCAAGTACCTCTGGGCTGCGGGGCGGATTATTGGCCATATTTGGTAATTATTTCACCAGCATCTCTGTCCCTTTGCTTATTTTAAGCTGCCGGCCACTCCAGCATTAGGGCCCCCTCCATGCACAAGATTCCCATACCTGTTCCTAACAGAAATGTAAATTTGTCACCAGCACCCATATTTGTCTTGTGGAAGAGCTATGGAATTCTAAAGAGTGCCTAGGAATCTGTGAATGGTTGTATCACGTAGATAGTGGAAGGTGTGATATGATGAATGCCTCCCTTACACTTCCAAATGGGGCCCCATGGTAGTATGAACAGAAGGTGCAGGAGTGAATCGAGTGTAGTAGCAGCAGATCAGGTGTCCACACCAGGCAGGGGCAGTGGTCAGGGGTCTTCAGTGAAGCAGACAAGCAGGATGGCAGCTGGTGAGCAGCAGACAGAAGCAGACTGGCACTGGCAACAGCAGTCATATGCTGGTAGCAGACAGTAGATAAGCAGGCACAGCTGGGTGGTAAGCAAGTACTGGCAGCAGCTGGAGTGATAGCAGAGTCAGACAAGCTGGGGCCAGGAGCGGACTGACCATTTAGCCACTCAGGCACTGCCCCGAGGGCCCGGGGTCAGTAGGGAGCCCCATGAGATGCCCCTGGTACCGTTCATAGGCTTTTTTGAGTGTGGTTTGAGTGTGGGTGAGGACACAGGGCCCCATGATTTCCTATTGCCCGGGGGCCCCATGAGTTGTCAGTCCGCCCCTGGATGGGGCCTTACACTGGCAGACAGATCAGGTACAGATGTGCAGGCAAGAGAGTGGTAAGGGTACACCGGGTCAGGAGCAAATCAGAGGAGCAGTAGTAAGAGGAGAGGGCAGAAGCAGTGGTCAGATGACAAGGTCGGTACAGGCAGAGTTCAAGGAGTAGTCAGGATGAGCTGGGTTAGCAACTGGAATCAGAATACAGAATCACTGGCTCGAGACACACAGATCGCTGTAGACAAAACAGCACTAAACCTGCGTACTGGTTTTGTTTCAGTAACCCATTTGGTGACATCATCTGTCACCATGGGTATGCATTTGGATGTTCGCTCCCTCATGTGCATAGGCATGTGCCCATCTCCTATGTGCATGAGAAGGGCAGCACAGTGGCTAAATGGTTAGCACTTCCGCCTGGCAGTACTAGGGTCATTGGTTCTATCCCAACCACAGCACCACCTGCCTGGAGTTTGCATGTTCTCCCAGTGCCTGCGTGGGTTTCCTCCAGGTACTCCGGTTTCCTGCCACACTCCAAAGACATGCTGGGAGGTTAATTGGTTCCTGTCTAAATTGTCCCTAGTATGTGTATGTATGAATGTGAGTTATGGACCTTAGATTGTACGCTCCTTGAGGGTTAGGGACTGATGTGAATGTACAATATATATGTAAAGTGCTGCGTAAATATGATGGCGCTATAGAAGTACCTATAATAAATTAAAAACAATAATTATGGATTAGCCTGTAATGATGCACAGAAGTCTGCCCAGGGGAGCCATCTTGTCTACTGGCATGCCCTTCCTGATAGGTTTTAAGTGTTGTTTCACGCTATTGATCTTGGCAACATTGCAATAGTTCTCTGAATGAGCAGCTTTTGATTGTAATGGTCTCCTCTGGCCTCGCAGTCAGCAGTGCTGGTACTGTTCTTCATTTACAATAAAGCTGAACAGGTGCTCTATATGACTATGGATTGAAAGTCAATAACTTCTAGTGAAAGCTGAAGGTTTCCTGTATAACGATTCCCTTTAAAGAATGCCAGATTCTTGCCATAAAATGACACACGGTATTATGATACAGGATTTATATAGCGCCAACAGTTTGCGAAGCGATTTACAATGTGAGGACAAACAGTGCAGTTACAATACATTTGATTACAGGAGGAATCAGGGGGCCCCGCTTGTAGAAACTAAAAAAAAAAATAAAATAATGTATTCAACTTTAGTTCAACTTTAACCATTTGCCTACGGGCACTTATACCCCCTTCCTGCCCAGGCCAATTTTTAGCTTTCAGTGCTGTCGCACTTTGAATGACAATTGCGCGGTCATGCAACATTGTACTCATATGAAATTTTTATCATTTTTTTGGGACAGATAGAGCTTTCTTTTGGTGGTATTTAATCACCTCGGGGTTTTTATTTTTTGCTAAACAACCAAAAACAACTGAACATTTTGAAAAAAAAATTGTTTTTCTTAGTTTCTGTTATACAATTTTGTAAATAAGTGATTTTTCTCCTTCACTGATTTGCGCTAATGAGGCTGCAGTGATGGGCACTGATAGGCGGCACTGGTGGGCACTGATAGGCGGCACTGATGGGCACTGATGAGGAGGCACTGGTAGGTGGCACTGATGGGCATTGACAGGTATCACTGATGGGCACTGAAAGGCAACACTCATATATGGCACTGTTAGGTGGCACTGACTGGCACTGTTAGGCGGCACTGACAGGCAGCACTGATAGGCAGCACTGATGCGCACTGATAGGCGGCACTGATGGGCAGGTGGCATTGATGACCTACTAACCGCCAAAGCTAATGGCCACTACTCAGTCCTCTTACTCCTCGACCGTTCCGCGGCCTTCGACACAGTCGACCCACCCCCTCCTCCTTAACAAACTACACTCCCTTGGCATCAGAAACTCCGCTCTCTCCTGGCTTTCCTCCTATCTATCCCCAATGCTCCTTCAGCATTACCTATAACGCTACCACCTCCCCCCTCTCTCCCCCTTTCTGTTGGGGTCCCCCAAGGCTCGGTCCTCGGGCCCCTTCTCCATCTACACCTCCTCCCTCTGCAAACTGATACACTCCCACGGCTTCAACTATCACCTCTATGTCGATAACACGCAAATTTACCTCTCACCTCACCCCTTCAGTCTCCGCCCGTATCACCCACCTACTGAACGACATATCAGACTGGATGTCGCTCCATTTCCTCAGATTGAACCTTTCCAAAACGGAGCTCCTGATTTTCCCTCCAGTCCGTGCCCCCCCCCCCCATCCTCTCCATCATGACCAACAACACCACCATCAGTCCCACCCCACAAGCCAAAGTCCTAGGTGTCACTCTAGACTCAAACCTGTCCTTCCAACCCTATCTCCAATCGCTGGCAAACTCATGCAGGCTCCACCTCCGCAACATCTCCAAAATACGAACGTTCTTAACCCCAGACATTACTAAACAACTCGTTCCCTCCCTTATTATCTCACAACTCGACTACTGCAACTCCCTCCTCACTGGCCTACCTTATCACAGACTATCCCCGCTTCAGTCTATCCTGAACTCAGTGGTCAGACTCATCCACCTTACTAACCGCTCTGCTTCTGCCACCCCCCTCTGTCATTCCCTCCACTGGCTCCCGATTGTCCAACGCATTAAATTCAAACTACTAACACAGACATACAAAGCCATTCATAATGCTGCCCCAAACTACCTCACCGACCTGATACCCAAATACCACCCAACCTGTAATCTTTGCTCCTCACAAGACCTCCTACTTTCTAGCTCCCTGGTCTCCACCTCCCACGCCCGACTGCAGGACTTCTCCAGGACTTCCCCCATCCTCTGGAACTCACTACCCCAATGCATCAGACTGTCACCTACCCTCCTCACCTTTAGGCGCACCCTGAAAACCCTCCTCTTCAGGGAAGCCTACCCCGCCCTAACCTAACAGCCGATCTCCTCCACTCCTCCTACTACTCCATCCCCCACAGCCACTTCCTCCTGTACCACTATCCCCTCCCTCCTAGATTGTAAGCTCGAAAGAGCAGGGCCCTCAAACCCCTCGTGTATTGTATTGTACTGTACTGTTTCATGTACTGTCCCCACTATAATGTACAGCGCTGAGCAAACCTTTTAGCGCTATATAAATACTGTATAATAATAATAATAATAATGGGCACTAACAGGTGGCATTGATGGACACTAACAAGTGGCACTGATGGGGCTACACTGATCATCAGGGCACACTGATCATCAGTGCCCTGATGATCAGTGTAGATGTCCCCTCTGAATAATGCCGATTACTGGCTCTCCTCTCCTCACGGCATTTTCTTATTTACATGCGATCAGCTGTGATTGGGCACAGCTGATCACATGACCGAGCCGACGTCATCGGCTCTTTCTGTTGATCGGTGATCCACTGTGTCTCAGGGACACAGCGCACCATTGATCGCCCCTCGCCCCCAGGGGCGCGCATGAACGGTTAGAGTGGGAGGATGTCATATGACGTCCTCCCAGAACGAGAGAGCCGCCTTGCGCCCGTCATTGCCTTATATGGTGGGCGGGAGGCAGTTAAAGTAAACTTAATTCTCAACCACTAAAATCTCATAGAACCTTGAGCATGTTAAAGCCGTGTTACACCCAAAAGGAAACACTTATTATATTGCAGCTTACCAATTCTTAGATGTGATGGTGGCATTATTTTTATTTTTTAGGCTTTTTTGTTTTCACCTGGTAATCTGCCCAGTATGTTTGCAAGCTTTGCAGATGTAGCAGTCAGAGGGATGAGCCAAACCATTTACTACTGACAGGGGTGCTTACAATGATCAGCTTTTATTTATTTATGTAAAACCTTTATCCCTAACCACTTGCCCTCCAGAGTATTTCCCTCCCTTCCTGACCAGGCCATTTTTTGCGATTTATTTTCCAAACAATTGTGACAAAAAATTACAACTTCAAAAAACTCACCATGCCTCTTACTAAATACCTCAGACTGTCTACTCTCCAAAAAGGGTTAATTTGGGGGGTATTTATACAGTACATTTTAGGGTCCGAAGAAATGAGAAAAATAAAAAAAACCCAGTGGTGATCAAATACCACCAAAAGAAAGCTATATTTGTGTGAAAAAAAATAACACATTTAATTTGGGTACAGTGTTACATTACTGCGCATTTGCCAGTTAAAGTAGCGCAGTGCTGAAGAGCAAAACATGACCTGGTCATGAAAAGGTTAAAAGAAAACTCCACACCCACTGAAGATCTTACATCCATAGATTATTAGATTATGGTGGGAGAAGCCATGAGCAGTCATCTCCAATGATCATATTTAAATATAGCCAACTACATTACAAAGGACTTTGACAACTAGTGACAAAAGGTGTCTAGTTAAGGTGTTTCCTTGTTGTCAGGATATTTTAGACAATTAAAGCAGTTCATTTGTTTTTTGCTTCTTCAGAGTTCTTTGACATATGGGAGAAGTATTGTCCTACTGGCACAGTGGAAACCACAGGAAGGATTGCCCCTGCTGAATTCATTATGTCTGACATAAAAGGAAATTCATTTTTCTACACTTATCGGGTGTAATCAAATACCTAAGGAAGGCCATAGATGATGCGATTTTCTTTCCTGTAACACTTATTGGGGGAGGGGGGAGCCATCCCTGCCAGGGGAACACAATGATTATTGCTAGTGACTATAGCTGCTGGCAAAAATCACATATACAAATAATTCAATTGAGTACAATCAGCCTGCCCATAGATGGTTCGAATCTCAGCTGGTCCTTGCTGAACTGGCTGAGATTCAAACTATCTATGGCTGATTCTGGACACGTGCCATATATACTTTGTCATTTTGACTGATTATATACCTCCATTGGATGAAAATGCCAAGTTCATGCTTCTGCTATAAGGAGACATTCCAAGAGTCTAAAAGGCATAAGAACAGTGTAAGAATTATGTTCATAACGATCCTCACTCTCCAAAGACTGACCTAGGTTGGCTTGTTCTTGGTGCTCCTCATACCAATAAGAAGCAGTTTTACAAGTATGTACGCTTATAAAACTATTGTTAACCTCCTCGGCGGTATGATTCTTTCCGATTTCTTGTGCTGAAAGCGGTACCATTTTTTGCATGGAAATATGTAGTTTTTTATTGTAGGCTGTAATACATAGGAATAACTCACTGAAATCTGTACGAACAAGAGTCTAGTAAACATCCCGGGTATGATAAAACTTGAAACACGAAATCATAAATTATAATTTAATAAATAATCATAAAAAATAATAATATAATAATAAATTTAATTCAATAATATAATCAAACCAACAACACTGAAATTTGAAATACAGAGGCAAATTTGCACATCGCTGAGCAAAGTCGCAAAATTGTTTTCAGTGTCTGATGACGAATTTCCCCACAAATCATTATCACTCAATTCTGCAAGTGGTTCTGATTTACTATCGCTGTTCTAAAACCGCTTTTGACGTAAAGGGACGCTTTTTGGACGCCATGGACTTTTCTAAGTTTCCAGGCAGAAAGAACATTCAAAATGCAGGCAGGGCACAGGACAAAGCAGTAGGGACAAAATATATGTGAAATGCATTGAAACAGCAATGACAGCAAAAATGACGATTTAAAAAAATTTCAAATTTCCCACCGGTTCCGGCACCCGTACGTCCCGACGTCACAGGGACCGGAACACAGAAGCCAGATGCCGGCATCGGCCAGAGGAGATGGCCGGGGACGCTGCAGGGGACACATCGTGGGAGCGAAGGACAAGGTAAGTGCTGCAGGGACCCCCTGAGCAACGCCGCATGATAAGCCCGAGTGTAGCTCAGGGTTACCGCTCTTGGTATCAAAATTTTACCCCGAGCTACAGTCGGGAAAACTGCTAAGGAGGTTAAGAGAATTGAAGACAGTCCGTTCATTTCTCAAAACTCAAGCTGTGGGAACACGAAAGAAATACCAACTCAGGCAACAAGACTTCTGGTAGGTCTACATCAGAGAATTAACTTATGGCAGGATCTTAGAGCAACATGTAAAGTTACTACCAGCAGCAGCAAGACCTATCCTTCAACTGGTTACCAGGAATCAACTAATAATGAGATCCTGCACAACAATGCTAATTTTCACCAGTTCATGGATGGTGTAACTAGTGACTAATTTTGTATGTAGCCCCACAGAACAGAAAGTGCACAGTCCAGGTGTGTTTATCTACTGCTTCACTGCAAACAAGAAACAGGAACTTTATTATAAAGAAAAGACACATAGTTTTATCATAAATGTAGCGACAAGCATATAAACACTGCCATCTACTGGTTGAAGAATATATCTGAATAGTGATATGTAATTGTTGTACAAAAATACATGAGCATTGTATTTCAACACCACCATTCAACAACTACTTCTTATCAGGGGTAGACTGACCATATGGAAACTCGGGCACTGCCCGAGGACCTGGGGTCAGTAGAGGGCCCCATGATATGCCCCTGGTACCTTTCATAGGCTTTTTTGAGTTTTGGCAAGGACACAGGGGCCCCATGATCCCCTATTGCCCGTGGGCCCCATGAGTTGTCAGTCCGTCCCTGCTTCTTATATTAGTCCCATTCCGGATCTCAATTCTATAAATCTGTTTTTTGCAAGTGGTTTTGTCAAAGCATCTGCAATCATGTTTACTATGAGGTAGCTCTGAAAGTTTCCATGTCTGCAGTTCACTACAAGATGTCATCTCTTCATCAGCAGCTCTGGTCCACTTTTATTTCTCATGGAAGTCTTTGCATCTCATCCCATAAATCTGGCTCTGGTTTTAATGGTATGCGAGCAACATAGGACTGACATTTGGCTGGGATGCCTTTGTTGCTTCTGGTGGATATCCTGCTCCTGATCCTCTTGTGGCCGGGTTTCTTCTTTTATGGTATTTGGCTTGTGTTTGTTAATTTCTATTTCTGCGTCATTTTGTTGCTGATCTTCATGTGACATTGATGTGGAATTTCCCTCAGTTTGAAGCCTTTGTGTTAGTTCATGAAATTTTGAACACACTGAAGTTTCATTGACAATTACACTTCTACAGATGGCTACCTTGCTTGTGTCTTGGTGTAGAATTCTGTATCCCTTTGAGATTTACTGTACCCCACAGGTACACCTTCCTTTGCATGAGCATCCCATTTTGTGCATTTTTTCTTTTGGCATGTGCACATAGGCTTTGAATCCAAGCATTTTTAGATGATTCAAATTGGGGGTGTTTCCATTCCACAGTTCACATGGAGTTTTCTCCATCGATTTTCCTGGTTGTGGATTTTGGAGATAGCATGTGGTCATAATTACCTCCCCCCCAGTATGTGGTTGGTATATCTGCATCATACAGCATGGTTCTTCCACTCTCACATAGACTACGTCCGTTTTGCTCTGGGTTGTATGGTACAGTGGTTTGGAATATTATGCCATGATTTCTGAGAATGACCTGTGTGCATATTCACTTCCATTGTCTATACTCAGCATTTTGCCATATTGTATGCTTACTTGAGCCAAACACTTTCCAGTTTCTCTGGTACTTCACTTTTGTTGTGTAACAGATAGTGGGATTACGTTACTAAAGGCAAATAGTCTGTTCACTGCAAGTGCACTTGGTCCATAGCTTAGTAAATGAGGTAAAGATCCACTTTGCAAAGAATACCCAATCATATGCAAGGAAAATAAAAAAAAAATTTTTTTGGTTGCACATGATTGGATAATAGCAATCAGCAGAGCTTCCCCTCAGATCTAGAGCAACTGCATTTGCAGTGCACAGCCTTTAGTAAATCAACCCCATAGTGTAGTATACCTGAAGTGATCATCTATAAAAGTGAGAGAATGCCTCTTCTTTCTTGGAGTCGGTTTTTCCATTGGACCGCAAAGATCTGTTTAGCTCTGCTGTTACTTTGCTTTGGAAAGGCTTTTCTTGTCATTTTTCATTTTATACAGATGATGCATTTCATTGTTTGACCACGTGGATTAATTGCTCAGTTAATTTCTTTATTATGTCCGGACTTCTGTGCCCAAGAAGTCTGAATCATGTGTAAATGCAGTTTGAATGTTTTTTCTCCCTGGCAGTAATAACCATCACATTGCAGTTCGGCTGATACAGTTCATCTGTAATTTTAGCCTTTGCAAGTAAGATATCCCCTTTTGTGATGGCACAACTGCCACCTTGGAAGGTCAGTACATTGCCTTGTTTTGTGAGCTTCTTCACTGACAAAAGATTAGTTTCAACAGTAGGGACATACAGGACATTTTTCACAGTCATCT